CACATGAGCGTTGTCCACTGTGCCTTTGAAAATGTACTCTCAGCTAATGGCGTGGGAATAGAAATCATCGCTGCGCCATGAACTTCATGACATGAAGGGCGCTAAAAGAGTGGTGGAAGACCGGCATTCAAACGGTTACAAGCTTTCCCTGCTTTATCCTTCCAGTACATATTCGGGGTCTAAGCTTTCGTTCACGCCCTTGAAAGGGTGCAACAACACAGGCCGAAATCAAAATACAATTAACTGTATTTTTCTCAGTCCCAACGGCAGCCGTAAAATTTTGCCATCAATCCGGATACGGTCGGTTATCGGGTCACGGTAGAATAACGGTATAAACGCTATAACCTCTGCTCTATTCCTATGCTAACTCTAGACCATCGCCGTTATCATCTGATATAGTATGTGCTAGGACCCTTACCCGAAGTTGCGACCTGATACTGAGTTCAACAATAGCATGATATCCAAGAACACCGCGATGAGCGAGCAGATTCGCAAAGCATGCAGAAATCGATGGCTGCGAATGATCGTGGCTTAAGCTAAACAGGCCATTCATTCAGTTCAGGAAACATTGTTTATGTGAAAGTCAGGAGTCGAATTACTAATTACCAATTCTACTCTTTTCCTTCATAAGGCTGAAATTCAGACTTTGGTCTGTTGCATTATTCATTTAACTGGTGAAAACAGCATTCGAAAAAATCGAAGATTACTTGGTTAAGTTAACTTAAGTCCATCAGTGGTTGTAGTTGCACTAAGCAAAAAGACTTACCCATTTCCAGAATTACTAACCTGTGAATACTCAGGAACTCTTATGCCAGTTTCTGGTCTGCTTTGGAAAAGGCTAAAACAAAAGTGAAACTTTAAATGTTTCACTGACGATAAACTCATCGAACGTTCATTTGAAACTGGGAAGCATCTTACAGAGACAACCTTGCTTACAAAGAAGAACATTACCTTAAGTGCTGCAGTGAATAATGCATAATCTCACATCAGAGTCACTGCTTCTATCTGATCAGCCGTTTCAGGCTTTTGATCAGGATGAACATACGTCACTCCACTGTAAAATGGTCCAATGTAGCATGACTGCCTTTGTACATTATTGCTGTGCGCTAAAAAAGGAACACCATTTTGTGTTCAGAGAGTTCCTTCATCCCCATCTTCCATCGGCGCTTCTCCTTTCGGGTCGCGGAGGCAGACACGTCAGACAGAGCTTCCAACGTTCCCGTTCCTGTGCCAGAGTCTGAGCTTCGGCAAAAGACAAATGGAGTCTGGAAGAGATTCCTTCCATATGTTTGCATCAGGTTCATCTTAGCCGTCTCCTGGGCCTTTTGCCGGTCCGATTTGCAAGGAACAGTTGCTTAGCCTTCCTTTCTGGAGGCATTCGCAACACATGTCCAAGCCATCGCAG